ACAAATGTATTGAGGTTATGGGGACTACATCGAAAAATAAGTTTTATTCAGAGTTTTCTGCCTTCTCCTCTATACCTACACCGTGACTGCATGAACACCCCTCGTAAACCCCGCAAAGAGTAGGCATACAGCGAAGTGAGCGGTGCCACAAACAGGAATCCTTAGAACACTTACAAAAATCCAATGCGCGCCAAACTCATAAACCATCGGAGACGCCCCAGTACCCACACCGAACAAGACTGTGCATAGAGTAGCTTGTACCATTTCGCAGCTTTACAGGAGTCATAGGTCTTATTGAAATGGTCTTGCCGTTAGACGAAAGTCGGCAAAATGCCCTATTAGCCCATATGTGCCAGGAAGCGTTCATTTTCCAGGCAAAAACACCTTTTGTTAATACATTCTGAGTCAAAAATCCCCATCAAAACTGCTCACCTGATCCATCCGGTAATGCAGGTACATAAGAAGGCAACATAGCTATTGAAGACCCGTCTACACTGGCAAGACCAGCTTTCATTTCTGCTTCTATTTTACCGCTAATGGTAAGCAAATCATCGTCGCTAATAATAAACTGTTTCAAAATCTGAAAAAAATACAAGAACGAACATACGTCTCGAAAAAAATCTTCTTCACACAAACATACCGCTTGAACTTCTGCTGATTCCAACCTCATTCCCATATCTCTGTGAATAACTTGAGCAAGACTAGTTACCACGTGTAACTAGCCCAATAAGAGCGCACTGTAAAGCTGTCATTATTTTGTGGATTCTAGACACGTTACAGACGAAAACAGATAACGACAAGGGTAAAAATAGCGCGTGCCACAATCGTAAGATGCCATTCATAGGAAATTCTGAACAATCATGGATACCGTTGTAGAACTACCCACGAGGTGACTAACGCCAATAAGCCTGCGTTCATACTTGCCGCAGCGTCCAACACCGCCCACCAGCGCACGCCAGTGTCCTCAAGGATGAGATACATCGGAGAAGTAGGAGGGAAGCAGACTGCTGGATTAGGCGTCGTGAAATTGCGGCGTGTGCAGCCTCACCACACAACTAGATTTCACCGTACATCAACACTGCAATTCTGCGCTTTAGCTGCAGTACTGTGCGGTTGCAGACACCGCAATTTCACGACCTAACCCACCTCTCTGCTACCCTCCATAAGAACAATATGGTAGTCTTTTCGCTTGCCAAAAAAGCAGGTTGGGTGGCGCGACACGCCCCATCGTCCACTCGTTGAGTCATTCGGAAATCCTTTAGCGATAATATTCAAAGGAGTAGTATATGAGCACAATCAGTAGCTTTAGGGCCCGGAAAACCGCTACTCTTTCGAATGCAAAGCAACGGAAAGCAACTGGGATGAAAAAATCCACCAAATAAAGCCGGAGTTCATCTAGTAGGACCGTAATCACAAACCAAAAAAAACGGCCAGTTTGGGGAATACGAACATGCTTGCCTCATGGCGAGGGCGGCTTCAAATCAAAGTCGTGACAACTCCACAAGCCAATACTAAAAAGTTCTCCACGATTTAAGGGACATCATTGCGCACAGTGCGTCACGTTGCACGGGATGACATCATCACTTTAAAAATGACACTGCGAGTAGGCCACCAGCAAGCATACAGCGGGTAAACCACAAGTGCACGCGAACGCGTTGTCATGTGAGACACTATGATATCACTGCACCAACAACCCCACAGGTATCTCCATGTTGTTTTAGGTTACCTTCTCAGACGGAAATCCCGCGAAATCCGCAAGTTCTGCGGAAAAACGATTGTATGCGTTTCGATCTGAAGAATCCTCAGAGTCCACACGCTCCGCAGTATCAGGAGAATCGGCGAGATCGCCAGAGAAGACTCGATGGGAATTGATTAATTAGCTCCAAACGCTGTTCTTCTCTAGGTTCCGCGGAATCTGGGATCACCGTAGAATCCACGGACTCTTCAAATCGATATGCATAGATTCTCTTTTGCAGATGGCGCGGAATCGGACTGATTGACCGAACACAAGAAACAAGTACAGAGTACAACCACAAACACTCATTAGATGGAAACGATAGAGATAAACACATTTACAAAGAGAACAAAGGATGGGTTGAATCATTCCTTTTCTCTCTTCTCGTCTTTCTCTGTTCTTGTAAGTATTTTTCTACAGGTAATTCGTGACATTAGAAGGAGGCGGGTGGCGCACGAGCAGGTGGTGCTTTGGGCACCTGGAAGATGATACCCATCCCGAACCGACCGAGTCTTTCAAATGCTCAGCGTCGGCTCTTGATCGAATTCTTCAA